CATCAGCCTTTTCTGAAAACTATTTAAAGGGGACAACGGAATAGGATTGGTGGAAAGTGTGCTGGCGTCGCGCCAAACTCAGCCTCCTTGACACGCCCCAGCATCCGCACGGAAAGACTGTACATAGAAACGCTCTTTTAACCCTCCTTGTGGACTGCAGAGCATACCAGAGCAGCGACGACATGCAGGGCCTGGACTTACGCGCTCAGCATTTCCCAGTCGGTTGGCGAGACATGCTGCAGCCATTTCCAAGTCAAAGAAATTAGGTCCTTGCTCACGCGACGCTCACCCCCGCCTGCAATACTGCTTTCGCAGCGCTGTCCCAGTGCCAATCTCCTGACCTTACCGTATGAACGTCATTATTCAAGTGACAACAAAAGGGATTGAATTGTCTAGTGTTGGCAACCTTACTAGGATGTCTAGGAACCTACCTCAGAGCACTCGCCTTCTATAGAAAGCGTTATGGAATTTAATGGCTATTTGCTCCCACAGTGAGCGTGGGTCGATGGTAGTGCTTGGGTCCGTTCAGAGGGATCTAGTACCTGTAAGTCAACCCTGAGGGATAGCTTATTTGCGTGGCCAGGGCGGGACGGATTCGATTCGGGTTGCATTTTCAACAGGCCCTTGCACCATGCTTACCATTGCTTGGTACCGTGCTATGCCAGATAAAGAGACTATGTGGCGTAAATTATGAATGGGTTTGCTACGAAAATTCGTGATTCTTCCAGGTAAGCCCGCTAAGCGGAAAGTGTAGGAAGCGATAGCAAATCAGTAGGCGAGCTAAACGTGGGAGACACTTCATAGTATGGGCTTATTTCGTCCGCTTTATGATTTGCTATCGCTACCTACCTTTTCCGCTTCCGGGGTTTACCTGGAGGAGTCGTGAATTTTTGTAGCAAGCGTCGCCCATTTTTTACACAGAACTATGAAGACTTACGTTGCTATGTTTATTGTCAACGGCGCACTGCAGACATGTCTTCCTCATGTCGTTCACAGCGTTCGGAGCCGCACCTCCTTTGAGAAGAGCAAGAACACAGTCCATTTTGCCACGCGAGCACGCTATGTGCAGAGCTGTCTCGCCTACAAATTGTGGGAGATTGCCGAAAAAAGTAGGTCTACTGTAAGTAACATCAGAGCACAAAAAAGACCTAAAGTAGAAAATCCATATATAAACAAGAAACCTTCAAATAGGAAATTTGATAAAGAACGATGAAGTCTTCGCCGCTGATCAATCCCTTTTTGGGATGCGGCACGCATTCTACTTCCATTCAGAATCGTAGTGGCTTATTGAATGCGATGTGGCCTATACAATGACTTGCGAGGCCAGCCGATGTACCAGTCAGTATCCTCACAGACTGATACCAACTTGCCGCCCCTGGGGGAGTGAGGCTCGGTTGGCTTGTGCGGGAGCCGATCCGGGATTTTAACCCTTGGCTGCGCGAGTGATAGCGTACGACGTTCACTACACTCTCGCCTTAGAAATTTGATATGAATTGGGAACTACACAGACTTATCGACAGACATGTGAAACAAAGTAAATTAATGGGGACAAACTTTTTTCTCTATCATAGAAATGTGAGTGGCATGATTCATATCCAAAGGTTGTAAAGGTTAGGACCAACCGTGCTTATCCTTCCAGCCTGTCAGCGGTGATATGAGGCAGTCATCTTCTGCTTCTATCTGTAAAGCATATTATTTAGCTGACCATTTTCATCACCTGGTTCCGAGAGAGGTGAAAATGACCCAAGGTAAGTAGTGAGTACTTGGATGGAAAGAAATAATAGAGCAGAGCGTACCCAACTCGGGCAAAGGTGAAACTGAATGATATAGTAAGAATGAGAGATTAGAAAGCTTCAAATACAGCTCGTGCCTCAAAACATAAATGGCTAGCACGATTCTGGACAAAATGGATGGCTCATTCGCTATGAGATGAGCGTACGTTCGGGTAGAAGGAGCCGGCATGTGTCACGGTACTTAGCTTTCTGTACTGTGGAGTATTGGAGGTGATGAGGGGATTTATCAGCAGTGGAACGACATATGCTGAGACCGGACAGCGCTAATTACAAAGAAAAATCGCGGCTCGATTGGAAGCATGAAAATCGAGAAAGATCTAGTCTTGAGCAAAGACCTAAGGAAAGTCTAGCGTAATTGAATATCAGGGAGACTTTCCTACAATCGAGCTCGAGCGACGAGCTTTCAAAAAAATGCTGCTCAAAGCTGAAGTTTACTGGACTCCTCAGAAGCTGAAGAGAACAAGTAAGCTGGAAAAACTGAGAAGTAGCCCGGAAATCAGAGGAAGACCAACTATACCTAGCGTATTGACAGAGGCTAGCCTGTCGGTTATCAGTGTATGATGCCTACGGTATTGCGCGTAAGCCGAACTAGTGTATCAGCAGTAGCGCTCTAATAGAGTAACAAAATTCTTACATTGAGCAACACATTGATGCAGGCAGTGAAACCAGCAAAGGCGGCTGCATGCAGAGGAGTCTGCCCGAGGGCATCAGTGATGGGGACACGACGGTGCCTGAAATGATCTACAATGGACGGATCTACACTTGTTTACAGCTTTGTTCGCTTGCTGTTTTCTGTAGGGGTTGTCAGGGGGCCGGGTTTCTGTAGCCAGAACGAGAGTCAAGTTCTACCTCTCTTGTTCTTGCCACACGAATTAGTCTGGGAGAGCGGAGGCGCGCTGCGCCAGACCAGCAACCCTTTTCCCCCCCTCTGAAACGCCCCAGCATTCACAGCCAGTAATCTAATCTATGCTGTCCTCTGTGCCAAAGCTGTCAACCCGTGGAACACTGATGTTGTCTGGTCGCCGCAATTCATCCGTTTGGACATCCAGTAATGCTACTAATTTAACGAAAATTCCTGCCCTTAGCGATAACAAATTAGAAGGGAAACTACTAGCTAGCTTGAGAACATTGAAAGGCTTGGGAATTGCCAAGTAGGTGAGCCGACGGAGCACCGGGGGTAACTCTGGTGGGAGAGCCGGAGCCACATCCATTCAAGTTGCGCGGGAAAGGCAAGGGCATCGAATTGTTCCGCGCAAAGGACGGCCATAGCCGTTTCGTCTGACGATGAGGCGGAAAGGTTAGAGGTAGCGGAGCAAACGATTTTCAAGAGCGCCAAAGTCAAGCGAACTTGCCGCCTGGAAGGGATCACAGACAGAGAAGAATGTAACTCACTTATCGACTGTTCTCCCAGTCGAATTCCAAGTGTCTGTTATCACTACCAGCTACAGAGTATGTGCTTGACACCAAAACAGGCCCAGTATACTGGAGTCCTGAAAAGACCTTTCAGTCAAGTACCTCTTTTTCCTTTCTCTCTTACTTGCTTTCATACCTGTCCATCGCATCCTTTTCGTTCATGTTTGCTCCGGCTGTTACCAGAAATCGTACCACGTCGGTGTGTCCACGACCAGCTGCCAAGTGCAAAGGTGTATTGTCGAGTTTATCTCGCTCCTAAAATTCAGCGCGAATGGAAATGAAGGCAACAGAAAACACCACTGGAACTGAAAGCCGGTTTGCAGAATTAGCCGAAAGCGTTCCATCCCCTGCCGAAAACAGTCTTTGCAAATGATTCTCGTTTCCAAAACCATACGCCGCAACATGAAGAGCAGTGAAACCATGGTTGTCCTGTGAACAGCATTACTGTAGGAATGACAGAAGTACAGTGTGGAGGTTCAGAGAAGCTTCTAGGCCCCCTAGCCTGGCGATCAGGTGACGTCTTCCGTTACGAGGTATTCTATCACCTCAACGTTTCCTGCGCAAACTGCCCACATTAGACATGACCGATTTTCTCGGTCTTTTATCTCCTGAAATAAACCGGGTTCACTTTCAGTGCAGGAGTGATGAAGAGTGGATGTACACAAGTAGCTAGGCTGTGTCATTCAATTCACGGTCACAGCGGAAAATGCATGCTAATCGTACGAAGTTGCATCAGCAAACGCCCAAAAGCCCTTGGACAGAAAAGCCAGACTTTTGGGTCTGTGACGATACACCTTGTTTTAAGGGAGAACGCCCGCATAGCGGTCTCGCTCGACCGTCTTCGTCTGCTCTCTCTCATTCTACGCAATCAGTGTATCTTCGTTGGGCCAAAGTAAAACGCTCAAAATCGGATGGAGCCTTATTGAGGACGTTCTCTACAGTTTGCTCTCTTCCGAGAGCAGTGCATACACTGTCTAAGGGCGTTGTAGTGTCATTATCACACTAAATTACACTGTAAAGCTACGTATGACTTGCGGTATCAGCTGATGAACGAGAATGATTTATGGTTTGACTGTCGCTCATAGAAGCTCGATTCATCAAAAATTTCAAACTAATGGAAGCAGTGACTGTTCAAATGCCAACGGAATGCGTTCAGCGTAAATTGTTCTTGGCCAGTATAATAGTCGAGACAGCTCACAGAACTTGCTGCCGCATAATGCGCCTGGACTTGGGCATACCCATTAGTCACTGAAAGCGAAATATGTGTTATATGGTGCATCGCAAACACGCCGGTGCGGGCTATTCCTGTTCACAGGCCAGGTGCGTCCGGAAGAATTAGCCAAAATGCACGTTTGCACATCCTATGCGTGACTTTCCGTTTCTATATGTAATTATACTGAGGGAAGGACACTGTCGTGTACGGACTCCGCTCGCGTTACAGCAGGACCACGCCTCAAAGGCAGTTGGCACGATGAATCCCTGAAGACGAGGACTAAATACGCCCAGCAGGACAGATCCGCAGACCCTGAGGATGCGTTGTGCACTGCCGCTGCCCCCAGGACGGTTACCCTTATAAAGCCTTTAAAGCTGCAAACATACGACCCAAACGCCACCACGCCGCCGCCCACAAATGGACGACCGTTCCTACACTCGTATTATTTATTCAGGTCGCTAAGCAATTAAGGATATCGAAGGGCTGTTGAATGCGGTCGGCGCGGTGCGCATGGTCACATACAAGCCGTATCTTCGGATAGCGGCTATTGCAGATGCCTATGGGAAAACTCGTCCGAAAATCGCTTTTTGAGTCATTAATAACGAAGGCTTTTTCTTCGCAGGATTTTGACCGTTTCGCTCCATTCTTTCGCCATTTTCCCCACTATATAGCGCCCTGCTAGCATTTTAGGGCGAGTACCAAATCATGCGTGCAACTTGCCCTTAACAGGATCAAACAACGACTCCACACAACTCATTGTTCTGACTGCTGGGCCTCGACTGGCAGGGATTTCGGCATCAGCGTCGTGAGTGCACCCTTGGAGAATTCGTGGTCGGCTCAGTCGGGAGACGGCACGCCGGGCATCACAAAAATGCCCTCATAGCCAGTGCACTTTCGAGCGCAGAATGTGTGAATTGCACGGCTTGCCACCTCCTTTTCGCGGCATGACCGCTCTTCAAGTAAGATATAAGGCTTGTCTTAGACTCTCAGTAGGGGCAGGTGAATTCTCACGACCTTGCTTGACCGTGGTGGGGTCAGGGGTATCAGTCGTGGACGACAGTGAGAAACTAGCTCTGTGCAGGGGGAATTTCGTGGCTAGTTGGCAATGTTTGTTGCACTGCTAATCAAAAAGTATCGAAAAGGTGCTGATGTAAATGCAGCCTATAACACCACTTCGGCAGCACTGCTTCGGCACACACCTGCGATTTGGAATAGGGGCACCACCCTAAGGGGGCCCCGACCACGTCTTTGGCGCTTTCTTCGTTTCCGATGGTGAACATAGAATGCTGAGCTATAAGTAAAATTTCCTCTTTGTCTGGATCACCCCACTAGAAGCTTCAGCATGAATGAGTTTTTGCTGCCGAGCTCACCTGGTAGTAGCTCTGGCTCCGCACGCCAACAGTAACTGCACAATCTCGTAATGTCCTTGTTCTGCAGCGTAATGAAGTGGAGTGCAGTTTTCGTTGTCGAACACCTGGAACGAAACATAACAATGAGATCTCTCCGGAGCAATCATCGCTGGAATTCGAAGAGCCATATTTCAGATGCGGAGGGAAAGGGATGAGTCCATTTTGGTTCTTTGGTGTCAATGTTGCTTTTTGTCACAGTTTGCGGTTCAAAATTGACCACAGGAATGCTGATTTATGAGCAAAAGACGGGGCCCAAGTCCTGACTCGAATATCGCGACTAAGCAGCAAAGCACTTCTGCTGAAATATTGAAGGAACCAGATCGCGCTTAAGAGAGATGTAAAGCTTAGTTTGTGAGACAGGATACGTCTCATACCAAGTCATTCTGTGCCCCGAACAATTAATGGGAAAACTGCCTCAAATGTGCTCTAACCCACGTCCCTTCGCAGACCCTCTCTTTTGCAAGGATAATGGCTGCAGCAGTCAGTCTCCATTGAAAATGCGTCCTTCAACAATTGGAGAGCGCTACGGTCTATCCATGCACTAATTATGCGGTTAGGAAACCCACCTAGACCGGCGATATGGGATGCGGTCCCCTAGGGGCAAGGGGGTGAGGGCAAGTGGCGCTTCTTAGCCAGATTTTAGGGTCATTTCAAGTCCCTTCACAGACCAACTTTAGCCTGAGCCAACAAAGTCGCCAAATCCTACAAAGTCAGCTAGTTGTTACAACATTCATGTGGCACAATGAAAACGCTGTCTTCTGCGCGAGCCCGCCCACGAAAGCAACCATACGTTTATTGTAAGCGGCAATGGATTCGGCTCTACGATTCTTAATGGGTGTGGCCTGCGTGGCGCGTTCCTAGAAGAATTCGGTTAGTACTAAGAGCCCTATCGTTCAGTGGTTAGGGTTGTCTTACCTCAACATTCTTGCCCATCTCCTCGGCGAATAACTTGAGCACCTGGAGATTATTAGCGATAGCTGCCAAATGAATTGCTGACAGACCATCGCGATTTCGGGCTGAGATCGACATTTCTTTTCGTCGGGCGAGAAGGCGGCAAACATCCACTCCTAACAATAAAAAGATTTACCTGCTGAATATCAAGTGGTCAGAGAGAAAGAGACTTCGAATCGTCGAAGAGATTAAAGTAGTAGATTTTGAGGAGGCTAAGTGTTAATTGTCCCATAGATGCTCCTCATCGGTTCAACAGCATCACGAACACTCTAAGCTGAGAGGTGACAGGGGGGCCAAAAAAGGTCATTCGGGCCGGAGTACATAATGAGCGAAGTTTTCGCAGGCGCGACAGGAGGAAGTGGATAGTGAGTAAGGCGGAGATACACAAGATCTTTCTCTTATAAAGAAGCCGGCTGCGCATTCACGCTTCATGTAAGCAAATATGGTCATGCTCAGTCGCGCCTGATGGAGAAGCGCCTTTGATTCGTGTCAAAAGCTGCGGAATTCTTGAACTGGAATCGCCAGTGATAGTACCTGAGACCAGTACTGATCTGCCGCTCAAACTCGAGCGCTCCGCAACGTCGGTACGGCCAGGACATCATCTTCCAATCCCAAGGCCGGTTGATGTTGTGCCGGACCGTGGCGTGAATGATGAACGATATTTTTTCGGTGGACTGAGGGTGTGCGCTGGTGGCTACATCGAGCAACTCGAGGAGATCCCATCTTCATGTCGTCGCCCGTATCTTCTTGGAAACTTTGTACTGCTACAGGATTGGTGACACACATTTAATGAAGGCGTGAAAACTTCGCACACTTGGATGGAAGACGTTGAGTACTTGGAAAAGATGGAGTATTTAAGCAGGGGCCCTGAATAAACCCCTCCTTATCGGTGGGCGAGCTCAAACAGGTGGATCTCAGTGGGAGAAAGTAACGATCTGCTCACTCCACACTCACTTTCGCGCGGCCGAATCTCTCGATGGCGCTCCTCCAGAAGGCTGTGGCGGAGCATCGTTATAGTATTTAATGTGCTCTTCAATATGGTAGTAAAAAGCGATACCAGATTTAATCAAGTGGTAGCTATGCGCCTTGAAAAGTCATGGCGGAAGATGTTTTTTTTGCCCCACCCCATGTAGACGAAAAATGGATGCGGTTCTAACTACCATGGTTCCCAAGCTTTCCCGTGCTTTTGTGGTCGAGAGGAGGAAGGAACCAAACCCCTCACTATGTTTAAATCGGCGCCTACTCTCTTCTTCTGTATGCGTATCTGCCCCTTTTCCGCATGGATCTTTGTGGCCATTGCAGCCACACCCCGAGCTGTCCTCAGATATGCACCATCGCAGCCCACGCGTACGTCTCTGCGGCTTGATTCAGGAAAGGGAGCATTTTGATATTAACATGATGAAGAGAAGGCATACCTTGTGCGAATGGAACCCCGACAGCACACATAAGTGGAGTTAGACCACATGAATCTCTCGCATCGACAGGCAGACCCAAAGCTGGGGAATCTGGAAAGGAGTGACAAATCAACTTCTTTGCTATGGGAACGGATGAATGGGAAATGGTGTATGTAGAAAACCTGCCTAAGATCAACCTCACACTCTCAACGCTAGCTTTAGATGCCGCATAGTGCAAGGGACCACGTCCTCGTTTGTCTTGGGCCAAGCCGAACACATCGTCTGTAGCAGTGACAGCATCGATGAACATCTGTGAAAATGTAAACGGATATTAGTATCGATTAAGCCTTCTACAAGCTCACTTTCCCTATGAAAATTCAGACTGAAAAGAAATCAAACAAAGGTAAGGAAAGAAAACAAGAGAAAATAAGACGAAAAAAATTAAGGCAAGCTAAAAATATCTATCGAATTTGCACTGTGAAAGACCAACCTGAAGTATTTTACCATTACCACATGCTGCTATGTGTATTGGCGTGACACCATCCTTGTCCGCGACTAGAAATGGCGCTAGGCCTTGAGGTGATTTACCGGATTGGAGAATAAATCGAACGACCTGAAAAAGTGTGATCAAAGTAAGGCACAGCGCCGGAGAAGATTTGGGTAAGTACGACTACCTCTCCTCTCCCCTCTCTTCTTATTCCGATGACGGCCTCTCCAGCATTGACGCAAACTCCTGTCGAGGGGCTAGACGTAGACACTTATGACCGAACTATCGAAGTCGTCCCGCAACTGGGAGAGGGTGCGAATCGAAAATGGAGTAAACAGTCTCGGGACATATTGCGACCCCCAGAAAATTCTTGAGCGGGCGGCGTGATTCTGACCGAGGTAAAATGACAATAAAATCGTCCATGATATTTTCTTGGAAAATATGATGTATAAAAGGGTGAGCAGAAAACTTGACATACATAAAAATTTAAAACAGCATTGATAAATGAAGCAAACTGAATGCAGCGCAATTGTGTGGAAGTGCAATGGCGTGGAGCAGCGTTGTACACTGTCGCCATACAGTGAGACCTTTTCTAGAAAGACGGAAGATTATTGCGGAGGAATATGTGAAATTAAGGGGAACTTGGCTACACAGTTGCTGGAATGCTTTTGCGTTGTTTAGATGATCAAGCTGTCCATTTAACCGCCAACCGACTAAGCTCTTCCTTTTGAGTTCTCACGTTAATGAGTCGGGCTTATTCGAGTTGTTTGCCCTTCAGACGCGCAGGATGGACTAACTAAAAGGGCGGCTGCTGTAACCGGGGGGGGGGCATTCTGCTGTTTCCATGAGTTTGCCAACTAGGTACCCTTTTTTCGAGTTGACACGTTTTAGGATGGTGGCTAGACGATCTTGCTCCAGCTTCACAAGCGTTCACAAGTTTTACCAGAGTGAGATTTGTAAACCGGAACCAGGGAAGCAATTATAATACAAAATGCCCCCCCCCGTCGACGAACAGCGCCCTCTCAAAGACATGTTACACATAGATCGTGTTGGCGAAGTCGGCGGAACGGTTGCTTTCTTCATCGGTATGCCCCTTTTTCTACGAGGCAAGCAGAAGGGATGAGAAAGGCGCGATAGTAGGTCCGACTCCGCCCACGCGGATGAAGTTTAGTATATCCAGGGAATGCTTTTGAAGTACGCAGTTTTTCTCGAAGAGACTAGACAACTCCATTATTTACTTCAGTTTTAATCCTCTCTTCGCTAACCTAAGAAAGGAGTGGGCCAATTCGTTGGCAGTGCTTACTGATTACCTCCTCTCTTCTATGGGGTTTGACTCTTGAACTGTTTTGGTGTGGGATCCAGGGAATCTCATGGGGATCTAATAAGTTTTGACGCCTGGATGCAGAAGGAAGTCATCAAATCAGTGTAAACAAATGTCACGTGCAAGCCGAGTTCGCTTCTAGTTCCAGCCTGTATGTCCGCTGACCGCGTCCGTACGATGGGGACATGTGTGAAACAGCGGTGTCAGTACGACCCCCTCCCCATTCCGCAACACCTACCTACCAACTCCCCACATTTTCCAGTTTTTCACCCAAAGATTTCCGTATG